ACGTCAAAAAGTAGCTAAACTAGAGCAAGATAGTCAATGGTTGTTGAAAACCCATCTTCCATCAATAGAAAGCGAAATGACAAAAAAAATCGTAGTGTGGCACGACACGGCAGAAAATGATTTGAGAAAAGAATTGTCTGACTATATCGATGAAATCCTGTCATCAGGAGAGGAAAGCAATGAGGAAGATGATGATGATGATGCTTTAAGCCAAGGGTCAGGCAGTTTATGGGGATGGGGTGATGCTGACACTGTTAAACAAAAGCCAACCTCTATATACGAACTCAACAATTTCTTTAAGTTTAAATACAAAAAGAAAAGCTGTTTAAGCCCGTCATTTTATGCCGATCGCTACCATATGTGTTTACGAGTACATCCAAATGGCTATGGTAAGGGCGAGGGGAGTCATGTCTCTGTTTATGTGTGTTTACTTCAAGGAGTTTATGATCGTATGGTCTCGTGGCCTTTCAGAGGAGAAGTTATTATTGAATTATTGCACAATTCCAATGGGCAACCTCATAGAAGAGTTGTGAAATATGGGCATGATACTCCAATAGATTTCTCAACTGTGGCAAAGGGTCCAGCAAAAGGAAATGGCTGTCCTAAATTTATATCTAACCGGAAATTGAATAGCTACCGTGTTTCTGGCACTCTACGATTTCATATTTATGTAATGTGCTAATAGTTCTTATTATTGTCATAGCATTTAGTTCTTCCTTTTCAGAACAATGTGACTACTAGAGGCAAACATTAATTTTGTAGTTTTATAATTAGTATTCAAAAATAATTATTGTTTAATCGAAATTAAATGAATACAAAAACAAGAAGAAAGTGGTCAGGGTTGGGGCTAGTATTAATTAATAATTTGATTAGATTAAAACAATAAAAATAATAATTGCTTTATACAAAAAATACAGTCTCGCATTCTTCGAAAAAATATCATCAAAATTAAACCATCAAAGAGTGAACAAGTCATTAGGTGCCGTCCCAGAGCCAGCAGGATACTGGGACTGAGACACTACCCCACCTTGCCTCACCATCTGCTGGGGACCTGGAACATGTTGCATCCCCATGGACTGAGGCATCTGATTGGACGACATGTTGTACATGTTTTGTGTGGGCGGAGGGTACTGCCTTCCCCCTGGTTGGTAGGATTGCTGTTGTTGAAGTTGAAAATGTTTCAGGTCGAGTTTATTAAAAAATGCCTTCAGAAAGGAATAAAAAGTAAATAAGGGCCCCCCATGTGTATAATTGTGCCTTTATTATATGTATATGTCTTCAATAGTAAAGTGTTAGGTGTAAGCAGAAGTGTAATGTCAACACCGATAGGTTAAAAATAGCTAAATTTACAACATTAATAAAAACAATAAAAATAAATGCATCAGTATTAATCTAATTTACGAAATTGAAAGTGAAGGCTGCCATCATCATCTGGTCTTAGATAAAAGACTATTTCTTCAAAAGAAACAAAATTTTCGATTCCAATCTCAACACCATCACGACTACGTTTGCGATACTTTTCATCAACAGTATCATCAAATATAATGAGGCCATGCTTATTCTCATAACCAGGTATGGGACTCAATAGTGTTACAAGGAGTTTACCACTAAATAGATACGAGGGCTCTCCAGATGCATGTATATATGAACAAATATTAGCAAAAACAGAAACATAAGACCCTTTTGCATCTCTAATGCCATTACAATATATAGTCACCTGCATTCCAAAACGAGGTGATAATGCCAAAAGAGAGCTTGAATGTACATAAAAGGTAGGAGATCGATGAAGGTTATTATGATTACGTTTATGTTCCCACCTGCCAACAACGAGACTGGATACAACACTTTGGGTGTCATTGTGATCAGGGATTTGAAAAGGAATAGCAAAACCCTTAGATGTATTTATATATGGAGAAGCTGCATGTGCCCCGGCTTTAAAAAAAACATCTTCTGAAGCTAGACATTTCTTTGCAGTTGGTTCAACCTCACTCTCTTCTTGCGAATCTTCTGATTCTGAAGGGAATGCTTTTTTGTAGATAAG